GGAAGAAGAAGAAGAAGAAGAAGAAAAAATTTCTGACAAATATATGACAATTGTGAATACTACAGAAAGTAGCAAAATTTTGACAAATCCATTCGAAAATGAAGAAGAAATAAAAAGAAAAGAAATTATTCCGCCGAGACCAGCGGTCAGATCTAATTTTAACGGTAATACAGTTAACCGACAATTTTCCAAAGAAAGACCAACAAAAAGACGTTTAGCCGCACCACAAATTAATTTAAATCCATTTTGGAGCGACGAAGATGATCATAATAGCGATTTGGAATCTAAAGAAAAAACATGTGAAATGATGCCTACACCTAAACCACGCACAATTAAGTACGTATAACGATGAAACATTTTTTAAAGTAATATATTTTTGATCGATGGTGCTTAAATACCCATATAATGCTCTAAATTTAAAAAATGAAAGGCGTAAAATTTCCATGTATCGTGATGCTTTATATCTTGGCTAAAGAATTTTGCTTTGCAAATTGGTTATCGCTATTCCCATCATTTCTCGAGAGCGTCTTCGTTATATTAAATATAGCTTTTCTAACAAGCTATTCAACGTAAGCTAAACAAAGTATCGTCATTCATTTCGTATTTTCATTCCATTTTCCTTTTCATTAATCTTACGTCGAAAAAAAATTTCTCGCGCAAACTCTAGATATTTTTTTATTTATTATCTTATATAGCGATTACAAGAATATCTTACAAATTTCTTTCTTTCTCTTTTTTTTCACAATGAAATCTTTTCTAACATCGAATATTTCGAAATTCGTTTTTATTCTCTAAACCATGCGATACAAAATGGGATACAAAATCACTTAAACACTGCAATCCAACAATCGATAATACGCATACGACGATCATCTTCAACCTTTAAAAATTCGTCCATTTCAATTGGTACGTAATAATTCAATTCGTACCTTTAATATACAAATATCTCTCATGCTTATCAAATCGTTAAGATAGAGATCAACGATAATCTTTGACAGTATATTAAAACGATATAAAGAGTTACCAAGTTTTAAAAGATATTTAAATTTAGAAAATGTATTGCATATATTCGGACCAAAACGAAGCCTTAGATGCATTTTTATATCCTTACTTTTTGTCTTTGTCTATTTTTAAATATTTCATCGTATTAAAATAATCTTTGAAAAAGTTTCTCTTCCCATCTATTTCCAAACACCTTGTAATATATTATATATTATGTACGTATATGTATCTTATGTATACACAGAGTAGTATCGCTTTTCCCCGAGAATGATTCTCCGATCTTCCATTACAGAAGCATTACTATTCTTTCTCATTCTTTATTGTTGTTCTTATTTCGTTGTATCACTTTCTTTTTTCGTCATCGTGAAAACATAAACGTAAATTAAAATCGTAAATTAGATCAATTTAATTGATTAAAAACTACGTATCATTTTTAAACTGAATTAAACTATTACATATTATAATAAATATATAAATCGTATAGAAAATTTGCTACTTTTTGGGGGGAAAATTTATAGGAAAATATAATCTGTTTATGAGAATAAAAAAAAAGAATATTATACGTAAATATTTCGTTATAAAATTATAAATAAATATCGAACTGACAAATTGACTTTACGACAATGCGAGTCGATCGGAATCGATCAATCAGAAAAGAACACGTTCGTTTTTTTCGAGAGTTTAAAAATTTCGAGTATAAAAATTAGAGAAGACAATGGGAGAAAATGTCGAAATGTCGGGTTCCTTCGAAAGGAATATCTCGTGATTTAAAATTGTTGGGATTTTCGAGAATTTCGGGATCTTTGTTCTTTTAATTTTGCGAATTAGAGTAATCCCAAAATTGTTATTCAATTCTTCGAGAACCCGATATTTTCAAGAATCCCGATAATCTCGAATTATAGGAAATACTTTTAGGATCCTATCTTCTCTCGATACATCTCGAACGGTTTCTCTCTTCTAATATTTGTTAATCGGCATTTTTATTCCTTTATCAGGATTTTAAGAATTTTAAGAATTGCGGGGTAAGTACAGTATCGAATTCTGTAATTCTTTGTACAGTATTTTAATGTTTTTTTCTTTTTTTATTTTTTTATCCAACATAAACATATAACGTTTACCCGATAAATGGATAATTAAATTCGAATATTCAATTTTTTTCTTACATCTGTTTTACATCTAACAAAAGTAAATGTCGTTTCATCTTTTCAATTATTAAAAATATTAAATAAAATATATTGAGAATCACGGTATATATCTGACTTTATTTTTTTCTGTCTTGCATAATAGATTATAACTAAGATCGAAGATTGGATCAAATGTTCGTAGATGCAACGAACTTTCGTAATAAAAAATATTTTTCTTTATGATGATGATTTATTTTTTGCTTATTTTTCGTTTATTTTTTTGTTATAGACACGATGAGGGGATAAATGTAACCGAACGACAAGAATCGAGCCAAAATCACCATCATTCGCGCACATCCAATAATAATATAAGAAGTCCAGAATCAAATATACGCATTGGAGGAACTTATAGAAAAAAGAAACCGGCTCCATTACCACCTACGAAAAAGGAATCGTGTCTTTCCGACCAACCTTCCATGTCCAAAGTAGAGTGCAATTTTAAATATATATATATATAATTTTTGTACTGTTCGATAGACGCGTGAAAAATGATCCTTCTTCTTTAAATCTTTTTTAAATCTTCTTTAAATCGTTTTTCTTTAAATCTTGTTTCACCATCAACAGATCGAAACGAGCAGTGTATATTATCAATTCATCAATTTCCTCGCTTTTACGTTTTTCTATCATTCTTCAGATATATTATACGTACAATTCATATTATTTGTCGATCATTGAATTGAATTGTCACATAAATCGAATCCAAAGTATATACTTTATTTTATCAATCTTATTTAAAACATTACTTTTTTTTTCTTTTTTTTTTCCTTTAAACGTATCGATGAAGTTTATTTTTTTTTTAAATTGATATATATATATATATAGTAACGTTCTGATAGTAGACGCATATCTTAGGAATCGCATAGTTAACGGTAGAGAAGCATAAACGTTCCGAGAATCTCTCAAGAAATAATAAGTAATAATAAAACTTGAACGAGATAAATCATTGATCAACGGCCACGTTGAGAATCAATTATGCATCATTATGCATCAACTATCGGAGCTATTACCGTGATGTCCAATGTAATATATCGATATAATTTTTATTTTATTAGGAATCATGCGTACACGTAACACCTAAGATGCGTAAGACGAAGCCAGCTCCACCACCACCACCACCACCACTACCATCAGCATCATCATCATCATCACCAACAGTTCTAGCAACGTCTAATTTTGAAGGATCTTCTATAAATCGATCGAGCGCGTGGGAAGATCAAAAGACTAATAAAGATGAGACAAATAGAAATAGACAGAGTTTCACGCATATGTCATGCGAAGAAAATTTCCATTATATGTCATATTTAGATAAAAGTATGGAAGGAAAATGGAAAAGAAAGAAAGGACCTGCTCCACCATGTCCAATACCACATAAAAGAAAGGTAAGTTTATATTTATTTTATATTAATTTTTTTACAAAATTTTGAAATAACAAATATCCATAACTTGCGTTTTTTTTTCATTTTTTTTTTTCGAAATGTGTAATTATAAATTATAAAACTTTTACAAATAATTCTATCAATATCTAATCTAATATTTTCTCATATTCGCTGTTCGTAACATCTTAAAGGAAAGTTTAAACGATTAAATTAATAATTTGTATTTAAATTTATTTTATTTTGAATTTTAGATAAAGGTAATGTCTCTTAAGGATGTTAAATTGGAGTTGGATGAAATAGAAGTGCAACAGCAAGGACTGGAAAAGCAAGGTGTACGATTGGAACAATTGATAAGAAGTAAATGCGAATCCGGATCTAGAACCGATAGTAATTATTTTAATATATACATACCTTAATATATTTACGTTACCTTAATAAAAACTAGCGGTTATCCACTTGATATATACAGTTATTTTTTATTATAGAAACGAATGTACTTGTAATATACAGGGTGTTGTATTCGATCCATCAGACTGAAATAAAAACCGGAATAAAAATGAAAATTGATACGCGAAAATAACGAAAATTCAAATTCGTTTTCCTATTGGCTGAAGCTACTATACATTCGCTCGTATAAGATGTTCTAAACGATTTCCAACGAATATTTTTTTTTTAACGGATCGCTAATTCGTTAATAATTAAAAAAATTCATTTTCGTTTCATTTTCTTTTGTATCGCGGTCGTACATTTTCCATCTAATTAAAATATTTATCAAACGTTACATTTTAATATTTAATACATTCAACGTTTAATACATTAATAACATAAACATTACAGATATTTCTCTTGCAACCGACGTAGAAGAATTGGTTTTAGAGTTATTTACTTTGGTAAACGAGAAAAACGAGTTATTCAGGCGACAAGCTGAATTAATGTTGCTGCGAAGACAACAAAGATTAGAAGAAGAACATGCGGAGGTTGAATATCAAATTCGATGTTTAATGATGCAACACGATTCGACCAAAACGGATTTTGATAAACAAAGAGAAGAAGCATTGATACAAAGGTATCCTATAACTTTCTTATTCTTTCTAATTAATATATACGTAGACTAATGGTAATTAAAATATAAGTTAAACATAACGATCGATCATAAATAAAAAATAATTTCTTATCCCGTTTTCTTCTATTCACAACAGATTGGTAGAAATTGTGGAAAGACGCAACGAAATCGTCGATTGTTTAGAAATGGATCGTCGTAGAGAAATGGAAGAAGACTGGAGCATCCATCATCATATGGATTTGTTCGTTGGTAAATAAAATGCTCGTTACGAATCTTTTTTTTTACGATTATTAGATTATTAAATGAACATATTTATTTAACAGCCAAAAATAAGAACGAATCATCGTTGTGTAACGATAAGGATATAACCGAGAAGAAGAAACGAAAACAAAATAAACAAAAGGAGAAGATAAAAGAGAAAAAGCTGAAAAAAATATCGAAGAAAGACATCGATAAAGACGTGGATGAAATTGAATTAACGCTTAAACGACACACAAAACGAAAATGGTTTTAACTTGTATCGATGTAGCTTAATCGATATATTTATAAACCGTATCGTATAAATTTATACAAAATTGTTAACATAAATTAAGTTATTCGTAACGTAAGTTATCTTCGAGGAGACGCGATCGGAACTTTTCACAGTCGAAATCGGATCCGTCAAACATGTTTCGCATCGCGACGTAGACTCGAAAGTATCCTTCGTGTTAATCTCCGAAGATCGACGATCGATCGTAAAGTATGCGATGAGACTTGGACGCTTCGCGATTAGTAATCTCGATATTATTCTCACTTCGTTGTCGAATCTCCGCTCTGTACAAAGTATACTCGTATATCGAGATTCTTCACTCGATCTCGAGACGAATCTCATCGCGTTTAAGGTTACTTACTTATCACGCCTGATTTAAAAAGTGAAAAAATACCACGAAAATCGAGACGATCACCCCGAGGACGTTATCGTATAAATTATCGATAGAAAATATTACCTCGAGGATCATAGAAGAGTTTACGTCATAAAACAAAATATATACATGTCGTTCATTTACCGCAACAATGATATAAGATGAAAATTATTAGAAACGAGATGAGTAAAACAAATTTCAATTCTTGTAAAAAATTCCATTAGAACTCGAACTTGAAAATTATGAAAATCTCACCGATGAAATCCTACTAGTAATAGTAAAAAGTACGGACAAAAAAGAATAGTTCATTTTATATCGAAAATATTAAAAAATATTAAAAAATGGCAAACGTTTTCAATTATATTATCGTTGCAGTTAAACGACATGATTTTTTTTTCTTTACAAAGTTTATAATAATACACTTAAACGCTTCGTGTAATATTTCAGATGTACAATTTTAATTAAATGTAATTACATATTCTTTATGTATACCATTATATATAACGTTCGTGTCAAATTATTAATAATACGTATTAAAAAATATACGTATTAAAAAATAAATTTCTACAAAAAATTAATATATCGAAAGCAAAGATCACATCGAAGAATTAGAAAAACCGAATGAAATTTACATTCAAATTTATAATTTATTTATCGTAATTTAAAAATTATTTCCATTGTAATCGAAAAAAATCTTTAAGATTTTAATACGATATACACGTAATATCCCGTCCATAAGTGGCCGGACACTTAAGATAGCGATTTTATACCATGAAACGATTCGTATCGCGAAATAAAATTAATATTTATTACGCACATATATCGTGCGGAGCTCAAGAGTTTACCTCCTAGAAGGAACGAGGATCTAAAACCATTCCTTTATTCTAACTTCAAAGGATATATCGCATAAGTAAGTTATTTTTTTTTTTTTTGGCAATAAGGATCAAGAAGAATCGCATCTATTAATTCGATGCGTAAAGGAAAAAGAATAGGAGCCAAGTAAGATAGAGAGACATACTTCAAACATCAGCGAAAGTATTAAAAGCGAGGATAAGCGAATCGAATGAGAAATCTCTCTTGTCCTTGCGCCGTCCCAACGTCAAATTCCTGAGTTCCGCACAGTACTATAACGTTAAAAATATATCAAATATGTCAAATTACACGTCAAAAATCTTATAAAAATAAATACATACACAATTAATTTTTTCATTTATACATTCAATTATCCTGCGTCTACCATCATTTCAACTAATAGCGGTATTCTATTTTCCAACGATGTTATTATTTTTTGAACCGTTCATCGTAATATTCGTAACAATATTAATTTTTATTTTATTATTTTATCAATTTATCACGATCTTTTCTTTTTTTTTAGATTCGACTCGTATCGATTCCTTATTTTATCGAATCCTCGTGTTCGATGAATACTTGATGATTCCTTTCATCGATTTCCATATTTATAATTATAATTATATTCTTATTTTTTTATATTTTATTTATTTAACGATTACTATATTCGAATATTTTATTATATCGATAAAATTTATTACGTTTAACCAATACGTATACAATAACAATCGACGCGACATCGCACCGCGATATTCGCTATAATATTGGTAAGATTACTAATTTTTATTTCATTTTATTAATTTATCACGGTCTTTTTTTCCTATTACTAATTTATAAAGAGATTCAACAATATTTTTTCTTTACTTTTTCTTTTATTTATTTGTTTTTTTTTTAATCGTTGTTATCGAATTATATCGTTTGAATTATTAATATCGTTATCAAATCTATTTAATCGTCAAAATTTAGTTGTTTTTTTCTTAATACAAGAATCTTTACGATATTGGAATAAAGAATAAAGAAAAAGTACAAGAAAAAAAATAGAAAATAGGATGGAAATAAAATTTCTTAAAAGAGACATCAAAAAATAGATGGAATTCGAAATTCAAAGGAAGTAATGGATAGGTTGACAAACGCTGACAAACGACGCATCAATGGTTCTTGGTTCGATTCTTATAATATGGAGTTTTTTTTTTTAAATAAAAATATTTTTTCGATTTTTTCGAACGACAGAATACGATCCGGATGGATGAAAAAAAATCGAAATTAACAAAAAATACTCGCAAAAGTATTCTTCTCTTCAAAGAGTACCATAAATAGCTTAAAATTAAAAGCTCTCGTCAGAGGGGCTGTGGCTAAGTTGGAACGCTGCTTTTTCCGCACGCCAAAGAACTCAAGTTCGAGACTCACCGGGTCTCGACTGGAGTTTTTTCGCGAGCGACGGACAACTTCTTAACTTGCCACGAGGGAATGATCCTCGGTGTCTTTCTCCCGCTACGGACTTGGGAAGTCCCTCTCTGGTCTAGGGGGTTTTTCACCCAGGAGCCCACTCTCTCCGGTCCGGGGGGTTTCCCCCGGGCCGGACACGAATTTTTGAGGAGGCGCCAGCGGAGGATAGACGGGGAGGGCTATAACGAGTCGTCTTTTACCGGCTTTTGCTTCCGGGTACAGGGAGTGGACTGTGGTTACTCTCGTAGCGCGAGATA